GAGATACCACCGCCGTCGAAGGGTCGAGGGCACTGTCTGCCAGATGTAGTCTAGGCTGTGAGATAGATTGTGCCACCTATGTGTTCTTAGCCTGCTCGCCCGTGAGGGTCGTGACGAGGCCGCCATGTGTATGTGCGTGTGTGTGTTCGCACCACCTTTGCACCGATAAACAAGCCGTTTGAGGATCGTTTTCGGTGCGGAAAAGTGCACAAGCTGTAGCGTAACAAGGCCATCATTCCGCACCCAAGCGTTTCTCATTTCGTGCCCGCGTCGCTGCGTTCGGTGCCGATATGTACTCTATTCACAATCCGTTTCATCGATAACTGCGCCAATTGGCGACGTTCTGCAAAAAAAACGAGTGCCCAAGCCTACTCCTAATAGGTGAACACTTCTCGCGTCGTTGTTTCCTTGCACCAACCCCTAAGTCATTCATTCACACCCGGTTTGTCCTCTCTTTGCGGCGGGACACGTACGTGTGTGTCGGTTTGGTTCTGCTGCTACTGCTGTGTGTGTCGGTCGGTTTGGTTCTGCTGCTGCTGTGTTCTTTTTTTGACCTCGTCCACACCGAGTGGCCAACTTTGGCACGTGTTCAGACCAGCTACCACGCATCTCCTCCTCTACAGCTCGCGGCTTTCACTATCTGCATATCACAGAGGGTGTTCGCGTGTGGTTTGCAGACCACGACAGGGCGTATTGAGAAGGGGCTCGCGATCGGCGACAACTCGCGTGCTAGTTCAAATATTCTGCTGCTGCTGTGTTCTGAGTGGTGGGGCATATTTTCTACTTCTTCATTTATTAACGCATACGGAGTGCTGACAACAACGATTCGCATCAAAAACATCGCATCAACAACATTTCGGGTGTGTGTACCAAAACAAAAGCAACACATATTCACGGGGGGCGCACGACCCAGCCTACTGCAGGTACTTTCCGCAGCACGGGTTATGCTGTTGTGATGGTGCGCGCGGAAAAAACTCCCCCCACTCGGGGTCTAGTATCCGGCAACTCAAAAGCGTGTGATAGGTGACCACACTAGCACGAAAGGCACAGGTGGCACCCTAGGCCCTCGCACACTAGTATAGACAGGATTACAGCAGTCATGCTTCATCAATGGTGGTAAGTTTTTTTTGCAAAGCTACAGGTATCCCTGCCGGGCAGCTCTCTGCTAAAAAAAAACTAATACGGGTACACCATATACAGAACGCGCCACGACTTAAATCCGATTGTTTAACTTGAGGCGCGACGCTGATTGGTTGCCTCTAACCGAGCACATGTTCATATTTTCCAAATTCTTATTTGGAGCAGGCATCCATCTATGTTTCAATAAACCGATTGCCCTTGAGGCAGAGGACACAGGTCTTTCTGGGTGGATTTAATCACGAGACACTATTGCTGCAAGAGTAGAGTAATAGCCGTGAAATCGCCCCCTAGATGGCAGTACCGCATGTATGGTATGGGAGCGGAGGATGTCGCCGACACAAGCCTGGGAGGCGAAGTGGGCAACAAGAAGAATTGGTGTACCAACCTACGAAGTGGGTCAGTGCTGACGCATGGAAGGTGTTCGAATTTGACGAAGGTGATACACTGGAATCGGAAGAGGAGTTCGAGGAGAAATCTCGCTTTTGCCGAGGAAGAAGGATAGAATCAAAACAGGCAAACGAAGGATAAGGAGGGTCTGGATGTGTACAGAATGTTGAAAGCAGGAATAGATTGCAAGGATTACCTACCCGTACATGGACCGACAGATGCAGGGATACAAGCTGAAGGTCAAATTTAGGTCTGGGGACATTGGTCTTCAAGAACGTAGACGAAGAATTAGGGAGACGATGAAGACCACAAATAAATCAGATGCGACTGAATGCGGCTCCGAGTGCGAAGACCATGTTCATGTCCTTGCGGAATGTCCGTTGTTCAAGGCGGAAAGGGAAATGCAAATGGTTGAGCTGGGAAAAAGTAGAAGGAAAAGGTACAGAGGGATGTTCGAGGCATGGAATAGCTAGGAGAACACGGTAGCTGTACTGGGGCATTGGAAATAGGTTGAATAGGCGGGAAATATCGATAGGATGGATAGGCTATGTAGGGAAAACATGTTTGAGCCACCTTTTTCGCTAAGTATGAAGGAACGATTGACCACCGGTGATCGGTCCTGTGGGAACAATGCTCCGTCCTGTCGAGTACGCATGATCAATAGTCGAACTAAGGCATGCGAAACATGGGAGAGAGAGTACGCCCCCCCTTCGGATCCAACTCCTACGATCAGGAAGACGCATAAGGAAGCAAAAAATGGCAAGAAGTCTGTATGAAATGTACCATATAGAGGAGAGATTGGCGACAGAAGCTTGGGAGGCGAAGTGGACAAACAAGAATAGTGGTGAAACCCAGGGAGCGGATCAAGGTTGCAGATGACGAATGGAGGAGTTCGAAATCGAATAGGTTAACACATAGTAGGAAACAACCGGTAGGTCTAGAGGGGCTCAAGAACAAGAAATATGCTGCTTTTGCCGAGAGAGAGCAAGACCAAACAAAAGGATCCAAGGATAAGGAGGGTCTGGATGTGCACGGAATGTTGAAAGAAGAATAAGATACCTACAGGACCAATGGCTAAGTGGCAAAGCAGAAGGTCAAATCTAAGACTGGGGACAACGGCCTTTGAAGACGTTGACGAAAATTCAGGAAGGAGGACGATGCACACGACAAGTTCAGTTGTGAACGCGGGTCCGAGTGTGGAGACCGGGTTCATGTCGTTGCGAAACGTCCGTGTTAGGCGACAAGGACAGAGAAATTGTACATGGCTGAGTTGGACAACTGGAAGGAAAGGTACAAGGAGGTGTTCGAGGCATGGCATAGCCAGGAGAAGACGGTGGCTGCACTGGGGCACACGAAGTGGGTTGAAAAGGCGGGAAGTGATATCGATGGGATAGATAGGCTAGGGAAAACATTTTTGAGCCACCTTTGGCAAGGACATCGTAATAGGAAGAAACGTTTGGACAACCCTGATCTCGGAACAGTGATGCGTCCTCTCGAGGAAGTGTGATCAATGGTCGAACCGCTGAGGCATGCGAAACATGATAGATAGTACGCTCTCCCCCCCCGCCTCGAATCTGAAACTACTTGTTTGGGTCACCCCCCACCTTGCTGAGTTCTTACCTTGCAGCCGCCACGTTTTGGGGCTCCGTTCTTATCTGTATGCGTCTTGGTGCACCATGAGGGTGGGTTCTCACGTCGGAAGTGAGCACCTGCTATTATGGCCAAGTTCTTAACTGCGCGGCGCGTTTAATTTGTGTTTCTATCCCTGTTCTTCATATGACACGACGCACGCACTAATCTCTACCTTTTGAGAAAGCATTAAGATTATTAGCAATCAATGAATTCAAGCGTCAGCGGAGGCTACTACAGTATCTGCGGCAATTTTCTACTACTCTTACTTCATTTGCCTGCTCGTGGTCTGTGTCGTGCCCCCGCTTTCCTCCCCTTCTACAAGTACATGCAAACGTTGTGCCGCTTGGTATACAGTTTATCCGAACTCACTCCAGTAATCACCCCCTTCTATCCTGCCTTCCTCAATGGAGGAAGGTGGTGCCCCTCTTGAAAATCGTACCTACGTGAATCCTTCTCCTACCTTCTGTAATGGCTGCTTTGCTGATGGTGTGCATCAAACGGTCCGTCATTCGTCACTTGCCACGCGGATGCAAGACTGCATTGCATGAAAGGGTAGACAGACACAAATATACAGTATTAAAAAAAACAAGGAACAACATATTCGCCTGATTGAGAGCGTAGCATCTGATTGAGAGCGAGATTGCGCGATACGCTGTAGCCGGACTACCACTGAGAGGTGGAGCTTGCTGTGTAGCTTGAATTGAAGGGCTAGCCCGTAGCTTCAAGCCGCTACCCTGGTCATCCTGTGGGAGTCTCTCGTTGTGGAGCTACAGCGGGGAGCAGAAGCTACAGCAGAGCCCACCGCCCGACGCGATACCGCCCTGAAACAGTTTGAGCAGAAATAGCCAATCTGGGCAAATCTAGCAACTTGTCTAGCTCCTCGCTGCAGCATCCGATGACGATGACACGCATATGCTCGCGAAGCTGCTGATGAGACCTTCAATTTGCACCGCTTCTTGGAATAGCCCGTCCCCTACTTGCCAAGAAATGGCAAGAGGCGTCTGGACCCGAAATTTCAATTTTTTTGGCTCTCGCTCTCAATCAGATACTTCGCTCTCAATCAGGCGAATATGTTGTTAAGGTTCTCTTTAGTACAGTACGTACTAAACGTACTTTCCAGTATTTCAGTCAGTATAGGGCCGTCCTGTACTGTACTGGGGGTTTAGTACGGCTCTCGGTACTGTACGAAGCGCAATAGTACGTTTAGTACAGCTTTCAATACTGTACTAAATGTACTATTGCACTTAGGACAGGTCTCCATACTGTACTGTACTGGGGGTTTAGTACGGCTCTCGGTACTGTACGAAGCGCAATAGTACGTTTAGTACAGCTTTCAATACTGTACTAAATGTACTATTGCACTTAGGACAGGTCTCCATACTGTACTGTACTGGGGGTTTATTACGGGTTTTAGGCCGGTACTGTACTGGATATAGTACAGTATTTGACCCACGATACTGTACTGTACTGGGGGTTTAACAAGGCTCTCCAAACTGTACTATGTGCAATAGTACGTTTAGTACAGCTCTCAAACCTGTACTGTACTATGGGTCTAGTACGGCTCTCGGTACTGTAGTAGGCGCAAAAGTTTTTGTAGTACAACTTTCAATACCGTACTAAAAAAAACACTACGTTTAGTACAGCTGTCCATACCATACTCAAAACAGTACGTTACGTACAGCTAGCTCTCCATACGATACTCAAGGAATAGTTTGCGTACGCTACAGTCCTACTCTATTACTAAGACGGAGGGACGGGGCGAGGGAGCATCGGGGGGGTTGATCCAAGCAGCGTGTACCGTGTTTATGTGTATGTTTATGTTCAACTGAGAGTGCTGTTGCAGGTGCTTCATGCATACCGTATATGACACAAGATAACACACCCCGTTGACCATTTTTCGAAGCTCGATTTCTCAACTGCAGGAACAGTCATAGCGCCGAAAACGGCGGTGTTCAAACCGTCTCGTTGAGAGTTTTTCGAAAATGTATAGTTTCGTTGATGCATCCTGGTCGTCGTGGAGTAATCGAGCTTTGAAAATCGGTTCGGGGTGTGTTATCTTGTGTCATATACGGTTTGCATATTTCAAGTGCGGCTCTCAGTACTGTACTAGGCGCAAGAGTACGTGCAGTAGGGCTCTCCATAGTACTTAACAAGCGCAATATACAGCTTTCCATACTGTACTCACAACAACAGTACGTTTGGTACAGGTCTCCATACTGTACTGTACTGGGGGTTCAGTACGGCTTTCCACACTGTACTAAGCGCAATAGTACGTTTAGTACGGCTCTCCATACTGTACTAAGCGAAGCAGTACGTTTAGTAAAGGCCTCCATACTGTACTGTACAGGGGGTTAAGTACGGCCCTCTATACTGTGTACTAAGCGATATAGTACGTTTAGGTCTCCATACTGTACTGTACTGGGGGTTTAGTACGCCTCTCGGTACTGTACTAAGCGCAATAAAACGTTTAGTACAACTTTCAATACTGTACAGTCGACCCCGCTTTACAGATACACCACGTTTCCCTCCCCAAAAAGTGTCTTTTTTAACGCGGGGAAGCGTCTTTAAAATTCCGGGGCCAGTAACGCACCATCCCCGGGGCCAATGAAGGCGAAACATATGTCAAAAGGTGCGCATTCGCAGCAGAAAGGCGACCACAAGAGGTGTTGTTTGAAACCTACGACACAAGGTGAATTGAAGGTCGCAACCACTGCTGCTATTGTGCTGCAATACATACTTGCACCATCGTTTGAATTTCCCCGTACTGTACCACCAAAATGCTGAAAGCGATGGTGTTCTACGACCGACGCATCGTACATGTACACGACGGTAGTGCGCTGGTGTTGACATGGGCTTAATTATTTGCTTCATTTTTTTTTTAGGCGTTGTCCTCCCCGTGAATATCTTGCCCATGATCTCGCTACCGCACCTGAGAAATATCGAAGGTTGTAAAACGACACTAGGAAGGTGTAGGTTACGCAGAAACACAGAGACCAAAAATGTCGGGAAAGCACAGCGACAAAGAGGACACCGCGCCTCCCAAAGGTCAAAACGAGGCACAACACAACAACACAAACGCCAACTTCAACCTCACGAGACTTCACCCAAGGCAAACAACGAACGTTGGCAATAANGGTGTAGGTTACGCAGAAACACAGAGACCAAAAATGTCGGGAAAGCACAGCGACAAAGAGGACACCGCGCCTCCCAAAGGTCAAAACGAGGCACAACACAACAACACAAACGCCAACTTCAACCTCACGAGACTTCACCCAAGGCAAACAACGAACGTTGGCAATAAAAGTGCTTTGCTCTCGAAACCAAAAACTACACCCGCCACATATCCCAAAGAGTCGCCTGCACCTCCCCCCACTCCTTTGCTCTTCGCTTGACCTGAGTATCATGAGTAAACTTCGGAAGAAGGTGCGCCGTTTCGCTGAACTCGCCGTCTCTTTCATGTGTGTACAAGAAAGAGCGGACATCTTCGACACGAGAGCGAACCTTGCCCGTTGAAATCGTAGATTTATGCACGACTGGCCTACCGTGATCGCCTTCCTCTTCACTGGACACGTCCTCCTCGACGTGTACGTTTGACATGTTCTCCGTTACCTCTTCCATCTCGAGTTCTACCTCATCCCTCAAGACCTCTTTATCGTCCTCTACACTAAGCCAAGTGCGCATTGCGCTGCGCACTTCTTCTGTGAGGCCAGAGGCGCTCTCGACGAACAAATTTTCCGTCCACACTCGCGGCTTAGACCTAGCGTCCAGGTCCTTGGCACACTCCGGCATGGACATCTTCTCGACCATGTCGCACAGGTCGTCCAGGGCGGCCGCCCACGGGTCTTCTCGGTCCAACCGCGTGTCTTTGTCCTTGAGCGCGCTCTCGTGCTCCCCAGGAAGAATGGTGGCCTTGAGCCAGCACCTGATCACAGTCTGGTCCAAAAAGCTCTCCCACTTTTGGGAAAGGATCTCCGTCACATCCAGCATCGTCGGCTGGCCTGCTTCGTTCAGGCCCCTGCAGCCCCTGCGAAACAATGATGCAAGGAACACAGGGTTAAAAAAAAAAGGACAGATTGTTAATCACCAGAGGGCGAGTGGATTTCGCTGGATGCGGTGTAGGGCAGGCACACTTTGATCGGAGACCTTTTTGAGGCAGCAATAGTGCTGTTGACTGCTGTTGAATGGCACTCGCCTACAGTAGTAATCCGGTACATGCCTGCACCAACTGTTGTCGAACAACACTCGCCTGACCAGCACCAACACAACTGAACCCGCAGCCACAAGAACGAATCACTACCTTCGCCGCCCCCACAACACAGTCTTACCTTCGGATTTTGCGCGCACGCGCTGTATCCCAGTCCTCGATGAGGGCCGCCAACCTCATCACCATCTCCGTCTTGTACTGGCACTTGCGAGCAAACAGGATTCACATGTCCATAGGCTGAAAGACGGACGTGACGTTGGGGGGCAGAAAGATGATGACGATTTGCGGGTCGTCGTTCTTGATGCGGTGGCCTGGGCAGTTGTCCCACAAGAGAGCCACCTTCTTGCCAGTCGTCTTCTTGACAAAGGGGACGAAGACTTCGTCGAACCACCGCTGGCAGAGTGAAGAGTCCAGCCAGCCACTCTTCTGGGCGTAGTAGGGGCAAGCTGGCTTGCGGACGTGGCGGAAAACCATGGGGTCTTTCGCCGTGTGGATGACGGCCAGCGGCACCTTGAGCGACCCGGTGGTGTTGCAGCAGGAGACAACAGTGCACCGATCCTTGGCCTTCATGGCCTTCGATCCCCGCGCGGTCTTCTGGTTGAGTCCCGCTGCGCTCTCTGACCTCGTGACATACGTGCCCCTCGGGAAACAGCGGTGGAAAAGCCCCGTCTCTTCCATGTTGAAGATCAACTCGACGTCAAAGCCCTGAAGCTGCTCCCAAATCTGCGCGATTTCCTTCTCAGCCGCAGCCTTGTTCACGTCACGAGCTTCCCCGTGCAGGTTGATGTGCACGAGGCCGTAGCGAGAAAGGAAGCGATGTAGCCAGCCGTTGCTCGCGGTGAAGTTGGTCACGTTCATCTCCNTGCTCCCGAATCTGCGCAATCTTCTCCTGCACCTTCTCCTGGTCCACGTCGCCAGCTTCCCCGTGCAGGTTGATGTGCACGAGGCCGTAGCGAGAAAGGAAGCGATGTAGCCAGCCGTCGCTCGCGGTGAAGTTGGTCACGTTAATCTCCGCCGCGAACTTCGTGGCCTGGGTCCGGATCATGATACCGCTCAACCCGAGCTTGGTTGTCTGCATGATCGTGAGGCAGCAGCAGCAGAAGTGGATATTCGAGCGATGTTGGCGGTTGTTTGGAATCCATGTAAGCGTTCAGGTGGCCCTCAACTTATCATCCTACCTGCTGCAACAGGTTGTAGCACAACAAAACAACGCCGGCTACTGCTGTGTAACAGACAGGAAACGAGGCGGCCAGAGATGTAAAAAAGAAAATGACCGAACGGCGTGGGGTCCCTACCTCAAATCGTTGTCGTGCAGTCTTGATCCACTGGTTCAAACGAGCCTCCAACTCCGCGTGAACCGGCGTTGGTGTGCGTTTGGCGCCCATGTTGAGCTCCATGTCACGGGCCTTCTCAAGCGCGGCGATCATGGGGGGTTTCATCAGCTTGCTGACGTATGCCTTGCCCACATTGTAGTCTGCCGCAACCTTGCTCCTTTGCCGGCCGCCTCGGACGGCCTCAACGATTTATCGCTGCGCGACTGTCAGCTTGCTCTTGCCGTGGTCTGATCCGGGCTTCGCTTTGCCCTTGCTGCCGCCCTTGCTGCCTCCCGCGCTGCCTCCCGCGCTGCCTCCCGCGCTGCCGCCCTTGCTGCCTCCCGCGCTGCCGCCGGGGGTGCTGCCCGTGTTGCCGCCCGCGCTGCTGCCAGGACCAGGTGTAGCCCGTTTCCCCGCGCTACCACCCAACCCAGCATCAGCCGCGGCACGTCGTTTCCCCTTTCCTCCAAGCGATGGCTCCTCCTCCCTAGACNTGCCGCCGGGGGTGCTGCCCGTGTTGCCGCCCGCGCTGCTGCCAGGACCAGGTGTAGCCCGTTTCCCCGCGCTACCACCCAACCCAGCATCAGCCGCGGCACGTCGTTTCCCCTTTGCTCCAAGCGATGGCTCCTCCTCTCTAGACGATTGTGTAGTGCTGCGGTCATCAGAGTAAAGTGGAAGAATTGAATGCGTGACAATTAGATCAGAAACATTGTACTACATACTACAGTGCTTGTCCTTCGCTGGAAAACCACTTGCGATGATAAACGATGCAAAAAAACTTAGTAAAAGTATTTTACAAATGTGATACTCCGTAGTTTACGATATTTCGTGCTCAACATTTACACATATGCACAGCACACGTCGTCACTGAAGCGAGAAAGGCGCGTATGGAAGGGGGGGGTGCAGCGCTGAAGTTATGTTGCGGGGGATTTTGTGTGACTCGGGAGATCATGTCTCTCTCCAACGCAGAGAGTTGACGCCATTTTTGAAGGCACACAACAATTTTCACGAGCGGCAACGAGCGGCAATTTTGGGAGCTTCTCGTGTCCAACAGCACAAAAAAGGCCATGGGTGCCAACTGTAGTTTGTCTAGAAGCAAAATAGCGAATGCAGGTGCGAAACATTGTTTCTGGTTCACGAGCGGGAATAATGGTACAGCAGTATCGCGACGCGTGCTCGCGGCGTCGTTGCAGAGAGCCACTGCTGCACGCACGCGCGCGCACACACACACGATGTGTGTCTACGTGAAAGAACATGTAGGGAGAGTCGTATTGGCATTCGCATCAAGCGCATTGCGCATTTTTCGAATTTTGGCCCCCTTCCAGGGACCTTGATTTTTACCCGCTGGCACTGACGTCTTTTAATTGGTCAGCCGGTTAGCGCGGTCGATGCTAATAATAAAAAAAACACACACACACAAACACATCCGTAGTTTCGCGGAAGGAACTGCTGTAAAAATTCACCTGTCACTGTGCTGCTCGAAGTCTTCGTCCTCCACTTCCATGGGACTGCAGCTGTTGCCAGCCTGATCTCACCTCTCCTCTTCTGGCAATCCGAGCACTCTCTGCTGTCCGTGGCCTTCCGCTCCGATGCCCCGACCACAAAAAGCGTGCATGGGTCGCCCGCACGGACACTGATGAACCAGTGACACCAGTGCAGATTTGAAGTGGTACGTCGGTTCGCCGCATGGCTTCAAGCCGGCAGCAGACGAACCGCTAGCAGATGGAATGAAGCTTTCCATACACCCACACGCAGTGTGCGGCTGCAGCAGACCGCTGTTGATGATCCAGGATCTGCAGGTGCTGCAGCACATTTTCTGGGGGGGGTCGAATGGTGGAAAACCCTACCTTCCCCTACTTTTTCACATCTGCGGGGCATCATGTTTCTGAGATTTTTTGTGTCCTTAAAGCGGGGAGTGTCTTTGAAAATGGTGTCTTTAAAGCGGGGGCGACTGTACTCAAAAACACAAGTACGTTTAGTACAGTACTCCAGATACTTCTTTTTTTTTATCTCCCATCATCGGATTCTTCTGTCGTCTGCCCCTCTGGCCCCTATCCTCCACTTCTACTAGCTAGACGACCCAACCGGGGTCACATAGGAGGGGGGGGCTGGACCCCCTCCTGCGGTTCCTGCCTGAGGTATTTTTATCGCGAGAAGGGTACAGCAATTCTTTCCCTCACGACTTACGAAGTCGATTATGGTTTACTAACAACGAGCTTTGCAGCACGTCGCTTTCATCCTGAACCAGGATTTATTTAGTGAGAAAAAAAACACTCCCCCCTCGCCGTACGGTGTTTGCCATCGGGGTTGGGTTTTCGTCGCTTGGCAACGACGTTGTAAAACAAGCCGCCCCCCCCGGTGTTTGCCATCGGGGTTGGGTTTTCGTCGCTTGGCAACGACGTTGTAAAACAAGCCAATTCACTTCGTGAACTCGGCAACCAGGTTGCCGTTATATGTTTTACCTCCGTTTTCTTTTTGGCGGTATAATGGTGGTCGAGTAGATCATGTCGTGCGGGGTCGAGAACCCCACTCCGCGCAAGGGGGATGATCGCACCACGTTGTGTTAAAATGGTCAAGCACCCTCGAGGAGTTACACAGTGAATAAAACTGTCTCAGGAAGTGAAAGCACCAGAAAATAAATTAAGTCATACGCNATGTTTTACCTCCGTTTTCTTTTTGGCGGTATAATGGTGGTCGAGTAGATCATGTCGTGCGGGGTCGAGAACCCCACTCCGCGCAAGGGGGATGATCGCACCACGTTGTGTTAAAATGGTCAAGCACCCTCGAGGAGTTACACAGTGAATAAAACTGTCTCAGGAAGTGAAAGCACCAGAAAATAAATTAAGTCATACGCAGCTGTCATCCGTACACAAGAAAGTAAGCACAAGATGCCGAAAACCCGTAGCAGGATGCAGCGCACCGTTCATGCGACCCGCCGAATATCTCACGGCGCTT